CATTAAGGCAAGATTCCAACCCAAATTTTCTGACTCTGAAACCACTGCCATACACATTATACCATATTACCTCTGCCCTTCATTCTAGTCCTATCCCCTTCTTCCCAAAGCAGGGATAAAAGAATGAAGGCCAGCCTGCAAAGGACCACAAGGAGCCCTCAGAGTCACAAGCACACCTAGCAATTGCACAGAAGAAATTTATGGCAGTCCTTCCAACCCTCCTGTTTTTAGCACACTTGGTATCTTCTGCACTGTGATTCATCAATACTGTTAAAAGATGGCATTCTTACTAGCAAGTGGCTGTGGTGACACAAGGGTGGCCACCTGAAAAGATTCAATAAGGGCTATAGAGCTGATTTCCTAGTTTGTACATCAGGGCTTAGACTGGGTCTGAGGCTCTTTAGAGGGTTGAGGACCATTTTCACTTTAAACATTGGCTCCACACCGGGATTCATTTGTTTCTTCCTTCCTACACCCCTCCTCTTCTCATTCAGCGTTTAGACTTCTATCCTTTGCTTTTTTCCCTACTCGATGTGTTCAGAATTTGGTTGCCAGGTCACCCTCCCCTTCATTTTGCATAACATAAAACTAAACACCATGTGCTGGAAACACACTGGCTCAGAGTCAGAGGGCCAAGGCCCAAATCTGTCCTCCAACACTTATTATTCACGTGACCGTGGGCAAGCTGGCCTCAGTCTCCTCAAGGATTCATCAATAGAGCAGCATTGATTAAAAACTACCACATACCAGGCCCTATGCTCATCTCTAAAATGGATAGTGCCAAAGGTCCCTTCCAGGTCAAGATTTCTCAGCCTATAATCCAATTCAATTCAGTCCTCATTTATTAAGCCCCATTTGATGTCAGAAACTGTGCTGGGTGCTAAGGATACAAAGAAAAAAGGAACAGCTCTTGCCCTTAGGGGGATTACAATCAAATGAACTGGAATGACAGGAGAAATAGTCATTCACATGAAATCCTTCAACATTTAATAGATAGTATTCATTTACAAAGCACTTTTTCATTTACAATTGTTTTCCATGTTATCTCATTTGGTTCTCAGGATATTTATGCGAGGTAGGAGCTACTGTTATTCCCCGTTTTACATAAAAGGAAACTAAGGCAGAAAGAGGCTTACTCAGGGTCACATAGTTATTACTGTCTGTATCAATATTTGAACTCGGATCTTCCTCCAGATCCAGCAGTCTATCCACTGGACCACATCTCAAAACATTTACAAATATTTCATAAAGTAATTAAGTTCAAAAAAGGAAGTCTATCAGATCCCTTCTTGCCCTTAAATTCTATGATTTTATGAATCCAAGGATGCAATTTTGCAATCCAAGAGGATTATAGGATCATATGTTTAGAGGTAGGAAGGGATCTTAGAGGTTATTGAGTACAAGCCCATGACTTTACAAATGAGGAAACTGAGACTCAGAAAAATTAAGTGACTTGCCCAGAATCACACAGCTAGAAAGTGTCAGAGGCAGAATTTGAACTCCCATCCTGAATCTCCGTCCATTATGCCTTCAGAGGGAAGTTGTGTAAAAAATTGTGTTAAAACAAGAATTCAATTAAACTCAACAAATTTAGTGAGATACTATTACATTCAGGGGCAGCTACATGGCACAGGGAATAGAAAGCCAGTCCTGGAGTCAGGAAGACTCACCTTCCTGAGTTGAAATCTCAGACACTTACTAGCTATGTGATCCTGGGCAAGTCACTTAACCCTGTTTGCCTCAGTTTCTTCATCTGTAAAATGAGCTGGAGAACAAAACGACAAACTATTCCAGCATCTTTGACAAGAAAACCCCAAATGGGATCACAAAGTGTCAGGCACAACTGAAAAACAGTTGAACAACAATGTTCAAAATTTTTCACTACACATTGGGGTATATATACAGTTCAGACAAAATTCAGTCAATTGCTAGAATTTTCTCTATATCCATTGTACTCAGAAAACATAATACTGGAAAAGCAGAAAAATTATTTTCTACTTGATTGACATTCCTTAACTTCCACAAAAGAAGAAAACAGAAATTATTCTTGAACAATCTTCCCAGCTAAAAGGTAAGCACCCTGAGGGCAGGGACCAATTCATTATTGTGTTTGTAGTCACTGTGCCAAACAGTATCTGGCATTAATAAATACTGATTGATTAACTGGTTGATTTATATTTTAATGAAGTGTGATGAAAAGAACAGAGTGCTGGATTTGAATTCAGGAAGACAGGGCTTCATATTTCAACAATGACATTTGCTTGACGTATGACCTTGGACAAGTGACTTGATCACAATTCCCTGGGACTTCTCTGATAAGTCATGGAGAGTTGTGTAAAGGAGTTACTAAACAGAGTTCCCATATTGAGAGTTCCCTGTGCAGAGGAATTAGGAACTTTTTCTGTGCGTGGGGAGAAAGACCTGAGATAATAAAAATATTGGCGTTGGATAAAAACCAAAGTAATTCAGTACATAATTAGGTGCTTAAAAATGAAAAAAAAAAGTTTTCATTGAAAAACAGCTATTCCAAGTAGGTAATTCTTTCATAGCTTTAATTAAAAACTTTGTAATTCAGATACTTGTTCCAATTTAGTTCATATTTACTTCTGAACATCTTTCGTGTCAATCTGACAATGGCTCCGAAAA